GGGCGGGCCCATAGGCCTGGGGCTGGGCCTTCAAAAAAACAATGGCCATGGAGCCCATTAGCAATAAATGCGCCTAAACGAAGAGGCTCACGAAGAAGCAACTGCGACGTCCCACACACACACGAGACAGTGCTAGACATTTTAAATTAGCGTGGTCTCGGAGGCGCTTCATCTCAGGTCGGCGGGCAGGCTTTAGGCCGCCCCAAATGCCTACGGTCCACAAGTAACCCCATTTTATTTGGCACTATTACATCCCTTTTATCAGCGGACACTTGCGATGAATCAGACTATCATACAATTTAGAAATAGCAGGGACCCCCAACCTAGGAGAGTCTTCTACATCCCTCATTCCACCTCGCAGGGATCAGACTCCCATCCATCGTTCGCCATAGTTTCTTCTTCACGTCTTTGCTTTGAAAGCAAATATTGTGGCCATCGGTAGGTACAAAGGTGCTAACCTTTCTGTCCAGTCAACTTCTCTGCAATTCTTCTTTTCTTGATCTTAGATTAGGTTATGGCTTACAAACAAACAATTTTTACATACAACATATCTTTTATCACTCTTCTACTTCGTCACCATCCTGATGATAGAAAAAAAAAAAAAAAGGTTAAAGGTGTTGGGAGGTAGGGTTTGGAGGAGGGCTTGGGGCAGGGCCGGTCACACAATCCTTAACTGAAGGATCATCTTGTACAGAGGTTATTGGGTGATGGCCTGCCAAAGGTGAGTGAAACCCGTAGTGTGGGTGGAGGTACTTGTGGTTGCTCGTACTCCAGATTGGTTGCATGCCAAAACAGAAAAGCAAACTTTTCGTAAAGCGTATAGGGACTCATCGACACCAGCATGGATCCTAAGACAGTTGATTTGAATCCATGAGCAAGTACAAACGAGGGTGGAGGCTACCCAGTGCGGAATTTGATCAAACGTCTGGCGTGGATAAGTTTTAACAAGAGCTCAAAAAGGTACTAACTGAGAGAAAACACCAAAATTTCCGGAATAAATATATGCCATTTAGTAGGGAGTTTTGTTCCACTGGAATTTCGGAACTGTCCTTTTAAGGGTGAATAGTAACTACACCTTTTATAAATTTAGGAAGGTGTCGACCTGGTCGCTCCTCAAAAGTACATATTCTTCATATATCACTCCGGCAATTTCTACTTTATTCTACTCTAAGTTTGTCTTTAGCTGTCCTCAAGTCTGTGCCCTTAGATTGACCGACTGATGCCTAACCTTATTGGACCATTGACAAACTTATACGAGTCTACAGGTCTTGTAAAAGTCAACTTATTATAAGGATCGGATCATGGTAGCGGGATACCTACATCCTCGCATTCATTCTCACTCACATACTAGAGGAAACGTGCACTATTCTCAGCGAGAACTCTAGCGCTTTGACCAATCCTTCAAAATTCGTGCTCTATGCGCATTTCTCGTCTTCGTGATTGCTAGTCTTACTCGTTCCATTGGCTCGAAACTCTTGTGCGTGCCTTACCAAGATTTCATTCTCATGCTCTCCTCATGCTCACTTTCGTGATTAGATTGTCACCACAAAGGGAGAACCCGCAGCCTAACATTGTCTCGTTTGCTGACCTACACTTTTATCTATGACGTTTTCTAAGCATTGATGGAAAGAGCCGTTCAGACGTAGATGTACTCTTGCAGTACTTCTCGACATCACGTCGAGATACCACTTCTTCGCCGAGTGGGCTTGCTTCGGAACCTTGAGGTTTATATCTTGTTGCTTGGCCTGTTTCGAAACACGAGCCTCTGATACAGATTGGGCTAAGCTCTCCCTGCGAGCTATTTCCTCAGCTGGTCGGCTTGGCGCTTGTGCACTTGCTACTTTGCGGAAACACCTCCCTCACACCTAACCTTGCTGCTAGATCGAGTGTCTTTATTCTGTTTTGGAGCAGGTTTGCCTTAGAGCCGTCCTAGGGCTGGGAACTTTGGCCAACCTAGCTTGCTTCTGGTTCACGTGTCTATCGATGTTGACAGTTACCTCGTTCAAACACTTCCACCGGTCGTACAAAGTTTTACCGAACTACCCCAACTCCGTCATAGTCTCGGCACCATTCTTCTTGGTCTTCCCCTCCGTCAAGCTTTCTTAAGGATCTACATCAACTCTATCATCTTTCTCCATGAACTAAATGTAACACCATAGAAAATAGGACTTCCACTCCTTTGCACCACTTCTGCTTTTACTGTCTCAATTCTCTGTCTGGAATTTTAAACTGTTTGTCAACGAACCCAGCTCTCACACTCTTCTCCGCGCCTCTGTTGGTACGGACACCTTAGCTGTACCTTGCACTGTGCACGTCTGAAATTGGTACTTCTCGGCTTAGGTATGCTCCTCTGGCAAACTATTGTTCTACAAAAATGTCCACATACCATTATACTTCTCATAATTCTCCAACCACCACAGGTATTCCCTGGGATCCTGTTACTGGTGTTCCAAACACTATCGGTTCGTATTAATTCTTCTCTTTTTGGTGAATGAACCAGATCCTCCAATTATATATTAAATTTTTAAAATGCACCTCAACAACAGAAAAGTGTCCCAGAAATGACTGTGTGTCACAAGCCGGGTCCCACTAAGGAACCAGTCTCCTTAACAGTGGGTCTTTTGACAGGAAAACTTTCCTAGGACCTTTGGATCTTGAGATAAGTCAATGTCTGTGCAACCTCATATCGGCCCCTTGACCAATCCTTATCTCCTCTGATCTGCCATTTGATCAAGTCCTATCTCCTCGTTCTCAACTTGATCTATCTTCAATCTGGTATTGGTTTCCAATCGGTGTCAGGGAATATGCCTCATTCTAACTCTTTCAGTTAATCCGGTCAGTGGCGGTCCTACAATATCCCAACGCTTCCTTCGAGGTATTTGAAGGATAAACTCCCATGGTTTGTGTGTGACAATCTTCCAACCTGTGAATTCACTAATCTGGGACCTCGTCGTTTTCGGGTCCTGGTTAGCGTTCCGTTAGGCTAACAACTTCTCTTATTTCCGGGACTCACTGGGAAAACTATCCCGAAGCTGCAACGCAATTTTCTGAAAATGTGGGCCAAATTGCAATTTTCAGAAGTTCAGGAATATTCGGTGTTCCAACTAGAATATTCCCGGTCCACTGTCCCTAAACAGCCTCTGCCACTTAATCTGGGCAATCTTTTTACAAGAAACTCCATCTCTAAAATCTGACCGTACGGATGTGGTCCGATCTCCAAATAGTCGAAATCCTACTATTGGATCACCACAACAAAACGGACTCCAATGGCTTTGGATCAAGCCAAACATTTTGTACCTCCTCAGACTCGGCTGTACCTTCGCCGCGAAACACAAGGATTCTTTCCTCCTGCGGATTGACGTGGCTGCTGACGTGGCTGCATGACGTGCACGCGCGTGCCATAATAAACACGCTCCCCCCACTTCGTTCCGTCTTCTTCCTTCATCCGCGCAGTGGGGCGCTCCCTTGCGACTGATCCGACCGCCGGTGCTTCACGGCGCGTGGCGGCGCGTGCCGAGAACTGGGACTCAGCGCCTTTTCATGCGGCCGTAGAGCCGTGGAAGCTTCCTATGGTGTCTGCTTTATATGTGGACCCTCTTCTCGAGCCCTGCTCCTGGTATAACTCAAAAATCGAATTTCGAGCAGCTTGATTTCTGGGCAGTTTCGGACAACACGCTGTTTTGTTCCGAAATCCACCGAAGTGCCTGATACCACTTGTTGGGATCTGGGGATCCGCCCAAACTTATAAGAAATCAAAACAAGCAGAAAAACACACCACACAACAAGGAACACTATTTACGTGGTTCGGCCTCAATGCCACGTCCACGGGAGATACCGTTTATTCAACTATACCAAATGGGAATACAGAAAATTACAAGTAGAGGAGGGAGTCCCACAGCTCTCCTCACCAGTCACTCACCGTTCCCGCTCACACCGAGAGAGACGGCCTCTCCGCCTCACATCTCTCAGCTCTCTTTGTTGTCTCACGGTTTGCTCACTCACTTACTCACTCTTTGGCCTCTCCTCTCAACCTCCATTTATAGGTGAGGGAGTAGGTGGGAGAGCCTTTGGGCAGCCTCCATCCTTGACTCTTCAAGATGGTTGGTGGCCGCCAAGGTGGACTTTGGTTGGTTGCTTTCCCATTGTTGCCAACCAAACTTGACTTGGATGATCACCCCTTTCACATGGGGTGAATTCAACACTGAATTCATGTTTTGACCTGCCTTAAATTTAATATTATCTTAATGGTAATACAGATGAAATTTAGTAAGTCGCCTGAATATATGATGTGTGATTTTATATTCTATTGGGTAGCCATAGATTCATTATTCCTTACTCACCTAGATTTTGTGATGTGTTGTCCGATAGTCGGTGAGATTGCTTGGGGATGCATCTGCTTCTTTCGAAAAGAATTGTGTGAGGGGAATTCAAGCCAATAGGGAACAGGTTTCAAAATTACTGCATGAGGTAAGTAGCCGCAGGCACAAAAGGTGTAAAATTTTAGATCATATTATATGCTAAAGCCCAAAATTAATTGATCATGTCTTGTTGTTGTGTTACTCTGTATGGTTTTTCAGTCGCTAATGCTTGTCACATCTTTGAACCCTGTAAGTTTTCCTCTCTTTCTCTCTCTCTCACTTGTGGGGGGACATTTGTTTTGAATAACAATATATGTTGTTGCCTCTTTCCAGAAAATTGGTTATGACAACGCTGCAGCAGTTGCCAAGAAAGCCCACAAGGATGGAAGCACTCTGAAGGTGATGGCCTTCTCTCATTTCTTTGCAATGCCAGGGTGTCTTTTTGCTGTTCGATTATATATCCATGACTTGCACTCAGGAAACTTACTGAAAAATCTAGAAATCCCCTAGATGTTGATTTGTGATTATGTATCAATTTTAAGCAGAATATAACAATCCTAGATGTTGATTTGTGATTATGTATCAATTTTAAGCAGAATATAACAATCACAATCAAACAATCAAGACAAAGAGACACAACGATTTTAACATGGAAAAAACCACAATTGGATACCTCCAACTGTGATTAAAAAACCACGGGCAACAGCCACAAAACAATCCACTAAGAAGATTTAAAAGAATTACACACGTATACTCTCAATTACCTAGCGAATCCACGCCTAATTGAACCAACCTCTATGTGCCTCTTCTAACCCGTCTTCACCTCGGAATTGTCTTTACGATGAGCCACCCCGGAATCCACCAAAGCTTCAGACTCGAATTCTTCAGAATCCACCGAAGAACAACTCTCTCTTTGTAGAACAAACAAACCTTTGATGTATACTCTTTGAAACATGAGTTGAATACTCAATCAAAACATTAAAGAAAACTCACCAAGTATCCCCAGATATAAACCCTAAAACCCAAAAAGAAGATCTGGAGTAGTTATCCTAAAATCTGACGTAACACGTGAATTTATACAATCTGTCCCGCGATCTCCGCTCGAGCGCCCAACAGCCCGCTCGAGCGGCTTCAACAAAATATGCGCGTGATATAACAGAGGTCCGCTCGAGCGCAAAATTACACATCTCAGTACTTTTACAGACGACCAAAACTGCTGGAACCAGGGATTCTCCGCTCGAGCGGGGTAATGTCCGCTCGAGCGGACAGGCAACTTGGAATGCATTTTTGCATTTTGCTTCGGGGGTGCTGCCCCTCGACCGCGCTGTGGCCCTGCCCCGGACCCGCCAAGGGGCGCTGCCCCCTGGACCCTCGTGAGCTGATCGGGCAGCTCGATCCCCGTCATAATCAGCGAAGTGGCAATCTTGAAAGCATTAGCATCACAAACTTCTCTGAAAGGCACAATTCGGGTTGGATTTGCATCTAAACACTCATAGCCTCACAGAAATAAAAAGTGTGAATAAAATTACAACTCAAAGGAGTTTTGTCAAACAGGATTGCCAAGAAATAAAACCTAACACTTACTATCTTTTTGCAATCAAGTAACTTGGTAATTTTAAATTTTGGAACTCTGCATGCTCAAATTTGACAAAATTTAATCGTGCAGGAAGCTGCTCTAAATCTTGGAGTGCTCACTAGTGAAGAGTTTGGCCAACTTGTAGTGCCGGAAAAGATGATTGGTCCCTCAGACTAACCAGCTTGGTAAACTTTTAGGGTTTGCAATGATGTAACCATTTTTGCACCCCTTCCCTCTATCAGTTGGAGAGTAGGAAATAAAAATCCAATGGTCATTGTGTCTTTCTGAGAAAACGATATTCTTGAGGTTTTATCTGTTCGGCTCTCATCTTTTGGATCCTTTTCAGTGACCTGGCTGTTGATTGGGTTAATAAGGAGAAAACCTCCTATTTGGTGAGTAAAGGCGGAGGCTCCCCCTCAATCAATGAATCTTTTCCCTTTTTTTTTTCTTTCTTTCTTTTGCACATTTTTTTCTTTCTTTTGCATATTTTGTCTTCTTCTCTTTCTTTTTCTTTGTCCTTTTCTTTTTCTTTTGCACAATCATTGGTGGCTGACACGCTCAAGAGTATGGAAACCGAACCAGAGAAGCATGGATATAATAAGGATGGCCTGGTTGGTGACTCTGAGGTAGCCTTTTCCTCATGGCTAGACTGCAAAGAATTAAGGGGAAAGTCATGGAGATGCAAAAGGATGGTAGGTGGTTAAGAGACTCAACATCACCCAAGATATGCTAGTATAAGTCAATTCCTCTAGAAAAACAAAAGATACAATGCCAGAAGTCCATAAAAAAATAATCACTAAGGCGGAAGACTCCAAAATTTGCTAATCCAAGAGTGTGTACAGAATGAAACATACTAATCAAAAAACACACACTCCAAAATGAGTAATGTCCACAGAAAGCACACATATATTAACAAGTAATGGATATTCTCATCAAATCTAATATGCACCAAGGATCACTAAAAAATTTCATGCTTGCAAAACCATACTAAGAAAATCTTTTCGGGATTTTTTTTTCTCAAAAATAAAGCAAGACAAAAAAAAATGAACAAGCACACATTTTTTTTTTCATTAAAAACAACACGCAAAAACCCAAAAGCTAAAACAGATAAACAAATTAACACAAGTCAAGTTTTCTCACCCAAACTGCTTTAGTACGAACAAAGTTGTGAGAATTGCAGTTCTTGGGTGGTGTCTTGACGTTGTGGTTCCTTTCCCCTGCAACAGGAACCCGTCTCGACATGGTTTCCAACTTCCTATTCCTAGGTCTAGGCAAATACACTTTCCCATGCAGCTTATAACAATAAGGTCAAATATGACCATGCATACCACAATGATGACAAATAAAAACAGGGTGTATAGGGTGTATCTTTTTTTTTCTTTACCTTACCAACTCTAGGAAGTTTAAGAAGTCCATCCTTATGTTGAATTTTTTGTTCTCCCTTTCCTTGGGTTCTTGTATCATGAG